TTAATCCACACACACAAGGGGGATATCTTAATTTTCATGTTTTTAAACTAGTACTTTCAAACATAAATATTAAGAAGAAAAAAAAAAGGGAAGTGGTTGTAAGTAAATGAATAATATCAATAACTATATATATATATATATATATATATGAGATCTACTTATTTTAAGAGTAAGTTTATCTTGATATATTTCGTTATAATAATTCATATTATACATCAAATTTTAATGATTTAACTGTTAAATTAAAAATTATTAATATATAAATCAAATGATGGAACACCATTCTTGAAGGCCATAGGACCTTTGGCAAGAACAATGTTAAGAAAAATGTAGGAAGAGTGAGTTCAAGGTAAATGTAAAAGACTTATGCTTCTGTTGAGCTATAAGCTTATTTCATGGTTCATTCTTCTTTTTGCATATTTTTCTTGTAAATATTTTCTTTTATTTTGACCTTGTATTTTGGGTCAAGTAGTGTAGGTAATTATGTCCTTGGATTATTTTTACTTGATCATATAATTAATAGATTAGGGGAGGTGTAATTAGCTAAATTTTGTTAGACTTATTTGGGTTTGGATGATCCAAATCTCTTTGTCCCACAGGTTTGGACGTCCACTTACTTATGCAAGTAGTTTGGACGTCCAAACTAAGTCAAGCTTGCCATCCAAGTTATAAATTAAGTCACATAGCTTTGATAATGACATCTCAACAACTTGTTAAAAGTAATCATTAGTTTAGTAGTTGTAATGATTAGGTTAGTTAGATGGAGTTAACTTAAGCTAACTTAGGTTATTCTTAAAGTAGGATTAACTTAATTTGTTCCATAAGTTTCTAGATAATTAACTAGACTTATAAAAATTAGAGTTTGTTAGCTTAAGTACAAGATAATTAATCATGATTACACTTAATCATGGTTAGTCTAGCTTGCACTATAAGTCAACTAAACTCTATATATTGTAGTTTTAACCCATTTTGTACTAGTTTTGAGTATTATACATGATTTGGATGAAATTCTTCTCCAAATTCTCTTTCAAAGCTTATTTCTCTCTTTGAAATTCTTCTTTTTCTCTTATCCTTTTCTTGAGTATGGTGAAAATTTGAATAGACTTATCACACTTCAAGAGTGTGGCGTTACCTAAGAAACCAAAAAGTTAAAGATCTATTCAAGAAGTTTTAAGGAGAAACTATATCAATCAAGTTTTTCCTAAGGTTTCCATCATCGTCTATAAATTTTTTAAAAAAACTTGAAAACTATTTGATACTTTATTTCATTAATTCAAATTGATGGATAATCATAAAATTTGCAAACTTGATCTATACATTAAGAACTTTTAATTCAACGACTGAACCATTAAAATTTGATATAAAACATTAGTTATTAAGTGAAATAAGTTTACCAAGACTTACTTTTAGAGTAAGTGGATCCGTTCTCTTTCTCTCTTTCTCTCTCTCTCTCTCTCACACACACACATATATATAAGTCTATTTAGAGTTATTATAAGAGTATGTCTATTTAGATTTATTCTACTCAAAATTTAGTTTACATAAAATTTTAATGATCTAATCATTAAATTAAAAGTTTTTAATATATACATTAAATCTATAAATTTTTTAAAAATTTAAAAATTATTTAATACTCTATTTCATTAATTCAAATTAATGTATAAAATATTTTATGATTGCCTATCAATTTAAATTAATGAAACAAAGTGTGGAAGAACGTATGTAAAAGATTTTGATGATGCCAAAACAATTGTAGAAAACAAGAAGTCAAGTTAAAGCAAGGTGATCAAAAACAAAAATCTCAATGTATTTTCGATAAGTCTTGTCAACCTAGCTTTATATGTAAAAAGAAATCTTTAGAAATATTGCATAAGGTTCTTGGCCATTTAAAATAAAGAATTTCAAAGAAAACCCAAATATAATTTTTTAAAAAGGTTTTGAAAATAGAAGTTTTTTTATATCTTAAGTTTTAACAGTCTGGTAATCGATTACCGGTACATGTAATCGATTACCAGAGGATGAAACTCATATGTTCAAAATTCACTTATTAAAACGTGCTCTGGTAATCGATTACCCATTCCCTGTAATCGATTACCAGAAGATAAAAAATTCAAAATTTGAATTTAAAGTTTACAACGTTCCAAACTGTTTGAAATTAAACCGTTGTAATCGATTACCAATTCTTGTAATCGATTACCAGAGCCTATTTTCTGAAAAATTTTAGAAAGTCACAACTCTTCATGAAAAGTCATGACCTATGAAACAATCATCTATAAATACCAATAATTTTTCAGAAAAAGGTTACGAACTCAATTGTGAAAAATTATCTTTATAATCACTTGGCCAAAATCATTTGCAAATATTATCTAAAGAGTTCTACTAGATCAACAAAGTGTAAAATCCACTCTTCAAAGAGAGTTGTTCTACTTCATTCATCTCATCTATTGATCTGTAAAGGAGAAAGTGTTGTTCTCCTTGGTGGTCTGTGATTCTCAACACAAGAAAAGGGAATTCCTAGGTGTTGGAGAATTTAAGTCTTGTAAAAGTTACAAGCATAGTGAAAAATCTCAAGTGGGAGACTTGAGGACTGGATGTAGGCAAGGTTGGTCGAACCAGTATAAAATCAAGTTTGCAATTCTCTTTCCCTATACTTTTAATTTTGATTGTGAAGTTTTTGCATCATTACATACAATTTGTTTATGATATTGATTTTATAAGAAAGAAGTTAGAAAAACTTATAAAGAGAAGAAAAATTAAATAACTTAATTCACCCCCCCTCTTAAGTTACACGAGGCTACTTGACTAAGAGCATCTCCAATGGGAGGTGCTTAGTGGGTTGCTTATTGTTAAGCAACAGTTCTTATAGGAAACTCCCGTTGGAGTGATCCTACATGGCACTTGAATTGCTTAAAAAATTTTCAGTGTTGCTTGTACAAGGTACGTTGCTTAGCATTGAGGAGAGAAATCTGATTGGCTAAAATGCATCTACCTGGAAAATGGTTCAGATTTAAGAAAATAAAAAAAATTGAAAAGAATGTGCTTAGCTCATTTTCGTCTCCTCCGACACCCTCCGTGCATGACCAGAACGGCAGCCGACGACCACCGCGTGACCAGAACGGCAGCCAGAACCACCGCAACCACCGCGAGCGCCAGAACCCCCCGCGTGCGACCCAGAACCCCCGCCCAGAACCCCTCCGCGTGCGACCCAGAACCCCTCTGCGTGCGGCGAGGGCACTCTTTCTTGCCTATTGGCGCGTGCGTCAATGCTCACCGCACAAAAACGAATATAGCCCCAAACTCGTGCTTAAAAAAATGCACAAACAAATTCACTTATTTAGAATAGCATTTTTTTTAGATTATATATATAAGATAGATGATTTTGTTAAGCTTTTTTTTTTCGGGTATAATTAATTCATAAAGAAGTGTAAAATTTACATTAATTTAATTTCTAATAAATTAATAATTAATTACTCAAAATAATTCTTTTTATCTATTAGAATTACAATACCATTTCAATATTAGAGTTTAAACTTAAGAGTGAATACTTATTATTCCAATTCTTTTTATTAGACTAATTTTAATAGTTCATTTAATATTTTTTTAATAATAATGGTATTAATACTTCACTGTAATTGTAAATATACATAAAATAAATATTTCTTTAATAATATAATTTCATACACAAACAATGTTAGGTATTAATTGTCAATATTAGGTAAGGTGTACATATACAATCAACAAGTTATAAATGTTAGAAAGAAGTGCTGCAGTAAAGAAATTGGCTGAAGCGAAGGAAGCAGCTAACTTTAGTGCAATGTATGAAATTCTCATGAAGGACACATCTGGAATGACTGAGAAGCAGCTCAAAGATCATGAATTGGCTTGTAATTTTATTAGGCGCAAATTAGGAGATTAAATATTATTGTAATTTTAATTTATGTAAATTAGACTAGTTTTATTGTTGCTTCCTATTTTCTCTAAAGTTGACACTTTAGTTTTCCACTTTAATTTATGTAATTTTTGGTATTTCTTTTTATTATGTAATTTCTCTTTATTATGTAATTTTTTTTATTATTGTAATTTTTGGTATTTCTTTTTATTAATAAATTTATTTTTATTATTGTAATTTTTTGTATTTTTTTATTATGTAATTTCTTTTTATTATTAAAATTTTTGATATATTTTTTATTATGTAATTTCTTTTATTATTGAAATATGAGTTGTAAAAAAATTGAGGTGTCAAAAAGTGTAATATGAGTTGTAAAAAAGTTGAGGTGCTTATAAGCAATTTCTATTGGAGCAAAAGTTGTAAAAATATAGTATGAGTTGCTTATGAGTGACGTGGCACAGTGGGACCCATTTAAAGTGGTTGGAAGTTGCTTATAAGCAACTCCCATTATAGATGCTCTAACACAAAGTATAGAATAATTTTTAAAATTTTAAAAAATTTATAGACTTGATATATATATATATATATTAAAAACTTTTAATTAAATAATTGAATCATTAAAATTTAATATAAAATATAAATTATTACATAAAATAAATCTAGATGGATTTTCTCTGTAAGAAAATCCCCTGTACATATATTTTAGTGCGAGTGATATATGATATGGTCTGGCCTCTGTTGTATCTTTCTTACATCCACCTCCTGAAAAAAGAAAGATGTAAATTAGTGCTTAACCACTACGTAAATTAGTCCTTCCATCTATGCATTCGAATACGTAACAAAATATTGTATTTCTGAAAGATACCTGCTTTTTCTTAGATGTTGGTTCTGTTGTCTTCCTTTTCTTACAAAAGCTTTTTCCAACTGCAAGTGATTAACTCCCTCTCCAACTACCAATTAACACAATAATAACACCATGCTTTGTGATGTGACTCACAAAAGTGATCCATACTAGTGTATCAAATACTCCCATAACAAATGTTTGGTAGGGCTTTTTGGAGAAGCTAGTAAATTACAGAGCAAATCGAGTGGTTATTATTCAGGTTTCGCAAGACTATATATAAAGGGTCTGTAAAGGAGATTACCGTACGTAAATGTTAAAAAAGAAAGAAGATTGTGTGGGATTTCACGAAAGCTTATGAATATATGATAATTTCCAACTTATCAAAGATATATAACATAATAAAATATGAATGATATATGCTTCAATAATTCTTTTATTTATATGATGCAATAAACAAGAACATAGCTACACGAGTTGGGTTTAGGGGAAGATAGTTCTCAAAACCTGGCCGTTGGGAAAAACATACTGTCTGTGTTTCTAAAAAATTAAGATTGTATCCCTAGAAGAGTATACTCATAAAAAATGTATATAAAAAAAGAGAGACTAAAAAGACATGAACAGATTATCAACGATCATTTCATCATAAAACTACAACGAAAACTTTCCATGCTCATAAACCTGGTCCTCTGGAATACAAATTGTTTGATACACTAGAAGGGATCACCATTGCATATCACATAATCCTCAAGAGACTGAAAGCCACAAAAATAATCGGAATATGGTGAATAAGTTAAAGAGATATCTAAAGGTATAGCTTTCGATGGCTGGCTGTGGCTTATGAATTGTTTAACATCACACAATTTATAGATAGAGTTATAGAGTAAGAGATTTTAATTTCGATGCAAGGTGTACATGGTTATAATAATTCTTGCATTACAATTACTAGCAAGAAAAAGGCACTTCGTGCCTGTATTATATTTTAAAAAAAAAAATAATAAAATAAAATAAAATAAAATGTTATTCATAAAAAAAGTAGTTATTGACAAATAAATAAAGGATAAAATAGTTCATATAAAAATAAAAATAAAAATAATTATTGAAAGTAGTATTCCTTTTATATATTAGTATAGATTTAGAGGAGGGTTCAAATGACACCGGTGTAACTTTAACTAAGTGTTACACCGTTCAATAACTTTATATTAAATGTGAATTTTGTAAATCCAACCGTTAGATTGAAAGTTCATATCTCTTAGATCATATATATCAAATTTTATATTAATCTAAGATGATTTGATACTTCATTCTCATAAAACAAAATTGACGTAATATATACATTTCAAAATATACTAAAATATGAACACTTTGATTACCTTCAAGTTGTTGTTCAATTTTAACAAAATTTGACATATATGATCTAAGAGATATGAACTTTCCATCTAACGGTTGGATTTACAAAATTCACATTTAATATAAAATTATTGAGCGGTGTAACACTTAGTAAAAGTTACACCGGTGTCGTTTGAACCCTCCTCATAGATTTATTAGTTTGAAATTCTTAAATTTGATTAAAAAATATTTTTTTTCTAATTTTTTAAATTAAAAGGATATAATGGTAAAAAAAAGTAGAGATCAAGGTAGTTAGCCAAAAATGATATCTTTTTTATATATTAGTATAGATTTTTAGAATACGACTTTCAACCAAACACAATCTTAGTAAATCAATTTATGAGACGAATGTTGTTTTTTTTTATTTATATATATTATTTTAACATTATCACTAATTCACGTAAGAGTCCGAATTTTCCTAATTATTATTTATTATGATGGCTATTTAAATTCACTCGCAAGGTTTTATTCACTCCAACAACCATTCTTCCACCAACACACGTACGCACAGTGATAAGTGTAAACTACTTACTTCACATCTCTCTCGCAACTTAATTACTTGTACAATCTCAACTACCAACATATATATCAAGCAGATTGACGCTGTTTATATAAGCACCAGTAACAAAGTGTCAAAGTGCATAGAAAACTGGAGTAATTTGTTTTCTTAATCATGAACTCGGATTCGATTTTCACTTTTTATATGAAATTATGAACTATGAAGATATTATTTTACTTATTATAGGGTTGACTCGGCGAAATTGAGTTATATTTATAAAAAAATATTGAAACAAAACAAAATTATCATAACATATTTTGCGGTGAGTAGAGAAATAAAATAAAGACATCTAAAGATATTTAAGGTAAAAACCTTTCCTTAATGTGGAAGGTGAGCAGAGAAATAAAATAAAGTCATCTGTAGGCCCATAGCACCTCGGGTAATTTTTCATTTCGCTCTGTGTAGTCCGAAAAGGGGGGAGTGCCTGCAACGACACTCTAACGTTCAAGAAAGTGATCGGCGTAATAAATGCGGTAGTTCAAAGTTAGTTACGTACCTCGTTGAAGGTCTATTTATACTAGTTGTTGTTGGGCCGTGATTAGGGAATGACTCTCGGAAAATTAGGGGGATAAACAGGTGTATCAAGTAAATTAATCTCGTCCTAATTCACCTGGCTTAACTCCGTGTCCTCGAGTATGAGAACCTAATTGGCCGACCCCAATACGACCGGGTCGGCCGGGTCGGTTGCACTAGGTTGGTTCAGTCTGGTCGGTCATACTAATGTTTTCGGCCTGGTCAGCCATCCGGTATATAGCCCCCACAGTGTCGAGGACTATGAGGACGAAGGCGATTATTAAAGTAAGCTTCAGCCAACCATGGCAAAACTCCGAGTCCCTGCAAGCGTGTTGTCTAATCGTAGAAACAGGTGTGCTGTTAGAGGGGGTCGGGTATTTGCTAAGAACTAATGACTGGTTATGGCAAGGATGATGTCATGCTACACACCATAGGCCTTTGTTGAGTACACTTGGCCGAGCATATCATATATGACGTCACGCGGCACGTGGTGAGAGCGGTTGAAAGTCTAACGGTCGTGAGATCTGGACCGTTCAACGATTGGGATCCAACGGCTGGAGATCCGAGGTGTCTTTTCACCTTCTCATTTACCCTTGCCTATAAATAGGTGGAGTGTTTGAGACTTTTACACGCTGTAAAATTTTTGATTCATTGTTCATCAGAGAACGACCGAGACAACCGAGGCAATTGAGTAAGGTGAGAATTTCTATTGCTTTGCCCTAGTACTAGATGGGTAGTGGGTATTCCTCGGCTAGGAGTTAGACATCGTCAGAGGCGTCGGGGTCTTCGCCTACGGGAGAGGGATTGGGCTCGAGCGAGGTGTCAAGGTTGTCGTCCTTGCATTGCGAAGTCGTCTTTCCTTCGGACTTCGCCGATCAAGAAGACGATGGGGACGAGGTAGTGGAGGTGCTACCTCCCCCCGTGACCGTAGCGGTCCGTGGAGATGAGGGGTTCGGTGTGTTCTCGGTGGCGAGGGATGACAGGGCCGATCAAGTTAGGGTAAGCGGCAAAGGTGCGGGTCGCGACGATGCGGCGAACGACGAGGTGTGGGGTCACGCGGTGTCTCGAGCCAAGATTGATTATGGGACAGTGGAGATGCCTGAGTACGAGTGGGTAGATGGGGAAGTCGGTATCTACTTTTCCTCCTTCTCGGATCAAGGTTTGCTAGACAAGTTCGTGAAGTTGGAGAAGTGTTTCGGGAGTGGGGAGGGTGAGTTGCCTTTGATCGCCGAGGCGTGCAACAACGAGGGCCCGAACACCGATTTTGTGTTCTTGGACCGTGGAGCCGAGGAGAGCTACTTCTTCAACGCTGACATGTGTTGGTTCCAAGATTTGGGCATAAAGCTGCCTTTCGATGATTTTCAGATGGGAGTGCTCCAAACCCTAAATGTGGCACCGACCTAACTACATCCAAACGCTTGGGCAGCGATGCAAGCCTTCAGAAACTTATGCCTTTGCCTGGGTATCACTCCTCGACCTCTGTCATTCCTCTACTATTACATTTATCGTCCGAGCAAGCTGACCAAATGGGTTTCCTTGGCTCGAGTGCCGAAGCGTGGTTTCTTGAGGGTGTTCACGTCCTCCTACAAGGGTTTTAAGAGTGGTTTCTTTAAAATCCACTGGGGGTCGGACTTAACTAGTTGCTTCTTCGACCGCGAGGGGTCGAAGCTGTTCCCTTTCTACTGAACAAAGACCCTGACACGTTTTGAGGCCATGGCCGCGTCTGGGCTTCCTGCCGAGGATCAAGACATTGTTGCTTTCCTTGGCAGATTGCCGAAGGGTTTTGCCTGTCCGAGGCCTTTTGGATATTTTTGAAACTTCAAACTTTGAGTTAGCACTGCTAGGTATGTCTTCCTACCTCGGTTATATTTCAGAGTTTTAAATTGATGTTAAACTTCGTTTTGTTGTAGGACTAATGGCTGGAATCGGTGACGATATGGATGTTACTGCCATGCTCGCCAACCGAGCTAAAGAGGCGAAAGTGAGTGGGAAGGTTTCGCCTCTTCGATCCGCTTTGAAGATCTTGAGAGAGAAGCCGACTGATGTAGGTATACTTGCGGTCGAGCAAAAGAAGAAGAAAGTCAGCTCGTCTAGGGTGAAATTTGCTGAGCTGGTTACCGAGACAGAACGTCCAAGCTCGTCTACTAAGCGTGTGAAGTAGCAAACTTTGGACCAGTCTGGGTGCGGTGCCTTTACCATGCTCGCGATGGTGGCCGGGTCCAACTTCTTGGTGCCCACTACTCAGGCAGAGAATCTGGTCAGCCTAGACGTAACCTCGAGTGGTGGGCTTCAGTACTTGGAAGGGATGTCTAAGGAGGCCGAGTACAAGCTATTCTGTGAGTTTGATGCTCGGATGTCGCTGGTTGCCAAGCATATAATGATGAGGTCGACAATCAGGGAGGGTCGACTAGAAGGCCGACTGAAGAAGGCTAAGAGCAATTTGCAGGAGGCCTTGGCTGTTAATGCTAGGATCAGCACTTCAGCTGAGGACTTGAAGAAGGTCGCTGATTCGTACCGAAGAGAAGCGGACAACTTGAAGTTGGCCGTCCAGAAGCTTCAGACCGAGGCAGTTACGGCGGGGGTGAGGTTGATCGGTTGAAGGAGGCGGCTACAAAGCTGAAATTCGATGCCACCGAAAAGATCCTTGCTCAGCATGACGCTGACTTTCAACTTGCCGTTCGTCAGGCCTTCTACTTCTGCAACGTTACGGACGAATTCGAGTTCGACGTCGTAGGGACTTCCTGGGTGGAAAGTTCATAAGTTATGTCGAATTCCCTCACGGGGCAAAGCCTGACGACCATGCCCCTACTCGGGGAATTTTAACCCAGGTCGAAGATAACACTGGCCGAGACGACGACATTGGCCGAGATGAAGATGCAAGTGTCGAGGCGGCCGTTAACAAAAATGTTGATGGCTCGGCTGCTCCGTAGGGATTAGGATTTATGTTTGTCATGTTGGCCGGTAGCGCCATTTTGTTAATTGTCTCGGCATTTAATGTCGATTAACCAAAACTTTTTGTAATTAGTCGTACCTAGTCGGCCCTTACTAAATGAAGTGTTCATTTTACCTTTATCTTCCTTGTAAATTATTTGTATTGGGTTGCATGACGCGATTATGAAATATGTGGGCCTCTAACCGAACGAGGCGCTTAGTGGGTCTCTTCGATGAGGGTATGCTCGGCCAAAAAGTGATAAGTTCAGGTGCATCCTTAGCTGAGGAGGGTGTTTGGAAGGAAACCTGTTTGACTCGGGTTCATGATTGATGGGAGTGCTCGGTGTGTGTGTTTGGCAACGGAGTGTTCGGCCGAGGATAGTGCTCGGTTAGGAGACTTGTTGGTGTTCGACCCAGGAGAATCCTTGGCCGGGGGAGGTTTACTCGGGAGGGAAAAGGAG